CAGGAATTGTAACTGTTTTACAAGCATAGAATACATTGGGAAACAATAACAAAGAAATGCTGGGGTTTCAGAGAAGCTCAGGATGCAGGTGGCTTCTTGGATTCAGTGATTACTGCTGGCACCTTCAGGTATTCACTTACTCTGATGGAGGGGTGCACACAAACACTGCCTTTGAGCAAAAGCCTTCAGGATATGCAAGTCGTGTTTTTCTGCTGTATTTATTAAAGACGATCCATGATGAGGTTCCTGTCTTTACCCTTATTAGTCCTCTAACATTGCAGAGAAGGGCAGTATTCTGCAACAGCAGAAATACATTTAAAAATCAATTGAAAAAGAAATTCAAAAGGTGCTTTTACATTCAAGTGTGTGCAAAAGCAATCACAGCAAAAAGAACTGTGGGGTTTTTGTTTTCTTTCCTTAAGGAAGTTGTTCTATCAGGAGCCCATAGGTCAAATTACTCTAAAAAATGGTCCACTAACTGGACTCCTACAAATGAGATGAAACTGAAGGAGGAGGCTTCACCTTCAGGATGCTGAGTGCAAAGGTTCTCTATCTTTTACAAGACCCAGACCTAGATCAAATCAGGCCAACTGTAACTTGAAAAAATAACAACGAGGATCCACATACGCATTTTTACTGCTTTCAGAGAAAGGGTCTAGTACAGTTAAGCCAAAGCCAACAATAATAACAGCTAAGACTCAGAGTTTTGCAGGGCCTTTGGTAACCCTTTCTACTATGGCACAATCAAAACAGCTTGCAGTCTCTACAAAGCTTCTGGCACAGATGTAGTTTTCCTTTAAGTCTACAAGCTATTTGTGAACATGCGAACTACAGCAAAACTTTTAAGAACTGACCAGAAGTATGTGGTGAACAGACAGTTAAAACATGGTAAGTGCTGCTTCTGTGTTTTCTGAATCCAGGTTCTCACCTGCTCTCGACAGAAACAAGCTCATAGCACCAGTCCCGCTGCCAGCTTCCAAAACGGTATCTCCGGGATGGATATCCATCATCACGAGCAGAGCACTGACGTCCTACGGGTAAGAAAAAACACGGCACGTTACCAGCCTTGAAAACCGAGGCTGGGATTCGGCCAGCGACCTC